CGTGGGTCTCTGTCACGTTCTCTCGGACCGGCAGGAGCTTTCCGAGTCTGCGTGGCCAGGCGGGCCTCCTGGGCCACCTCGTGCAGGTCTCTTGTTCCGCTTGTTCTGTTTCTTCTGCCGCTCCGCACGGGGCGTCCGTTGCCCTTGTGTCCCACGTCAGGGTTGTTCTCTGTCTGGGGAGCACTGCCGGCCTGTCCTCCGCATGCTGAGCTCGTCACTTTCTTTGTGATCTGAGGCCTCCCGCATGGATTTAAGCCTCGCTCATGTGGCTTCCTTCCTTCTGTCCATCTGCTCCTGTGCTCTGCTCCTGTGCAGAGTTGAAATCGTCCACTTCTCACTTAGGGTCTATATTAGTCCATTTTTGTTGCTTATACCAAAGTACACGGAACTGGGTGATTTATAAAGAAAATCAAATTTATTGCTTACAGATTCCAAGGCTAGGAAGTCCAAAGTCCACCTGGTGGTGGCAACAGTGACCCAGGGGTCTCATATTGCAAGATGGTGGAAGCAGAGAGAGCAGAGAGAGACAGATTCTCATGTGCTCTCCTTTTAAAGCCGTCAGAACCATGCCCCTGACCACCATTTTTAGTCCATTCACTACTGCAGGTCCTACAATCTAATCACCTCTTCAAGGCTCCACCTTTCAATGACCATCATAGGATCTCCCACCCTCTTAACAGTCCCAGTGGGGGCTAAGTTTCTAATACATAAAGCTTGGGGGATACAATTAAACTTCAGTGAATTTTGGGGAGACATAATTCAATCCACTACAGGTCATTTCTAGGACATGTGTCGCCTGTCTTTTAAGCATCATTCCCTTCCCTGCAAAGTGAGGTTCGTTCTCTCCCTCGCGTGGAAGAGCCGTGCACAGACATCAGTATGGCCTTTGCCCTTCGCTGGTGCACTCCTGGGTCTGGGTCCTGATCTGAGTCTGGAGGGCAGAGGAGGTAGTACATTGTGGTCTGCCCCCTCCCGGGGTCTGTTACCCCTCCTGAGGATCCCTCCCACCTGGAGTCTCCCCCCTCCTGGGATCTGGGAGAAAACTGGCAGCCTAGCCCGTGGGACATTTCCATGTGGATCTCTGATAGGGAAAGACTTTAAAAATATGTAAAATGTGTGTGCAGCCCCAATACAGTCATCACCCTAAGAAGCTAACAGCAATGCCCTGACGTCAGACACACAGAAGTGCTTACCCTGCCCCACGTGTTCTGCACTTACTGCTGGGTTCTCAGATACACTGGGAACTTTGGAGCGAGATCGGACGGAGCGCCCTGTCCCCCTGCCCAGCTGCCCTGCTAGCATCTCCTCTCCGGCACATCCGAGAGCTTTGCATGGGGGCCGTGCCGCTCACGAAGCTGCGGGCTGCTTCAGGTCTGCCCGGCTTTTCCATCCATGCCATTCTGCTGTTCAGGGTACTGAATTGTGTTTGGTACACTTCTCCTTAGCTGTGTGTCAAATCGGAATACAGGCAGGTGCACAGGCTTCTGCAGGTCCCTGTCACCCAGCATGGAGCCAGCCCATGACGGGACTTGCAGAAGCTCCTCTGGCCTCTCCCTCCTCACGCACACTGGACGGCAGTGACCCAGCTCTCCTTTTCTTGAAACATTGGGTTGTTTCCTAAAGATCAGTATGAGAAACCCTAGCACGTGCCAAAGCCCAAGATGGCTAAAGTGAACAGTCTCAGACAAGGAAATGCAGGTGGTCTTTAGAGAGGAGGAGGCCACCCAGCCTTGGGTGTATAGAGGACGGCCCAATGCCAGGGCAGCTTCGTGTCCACACTGGCTAACAGAGGTCCCACAATTGGTGTGCTGCCAGTGGGGCAAATCGTGACAACCCGCCATGCCCTGAGTGGCTCGACCGTCTGTATGTGGGATCCGAACCTTCGGCGGGAGCGCCACTGCGCTTCCCAAGCGGCGCACTATAGCAGTGCGCCACCGGGCCGGCCCCAAGAAGAAAAATTTTCAAATGGCAAAGAGAACATGAAGGCCTTTCACGCACTGCTATGGGAAGCTCTGAGCAAAACCACCACATAGAGAGCAGGTGAGCAGCCCGCGTGCACAGGTGCTGCTGTTTCGCAGGCAGGGGTGCATGCATCGTATGCCCACCTACACACGTATGCACACATCTTTGCACACTTTTTAGGACCCACAGTAGACGGTTATGCTGGTTGCCTGCAGGCTGGGGAGGGGAGTCTGCAAGACGGATGTTATTAGTTGTCTATTCTCTTAAGTTTCCTGAATTTTAAACTTGTGGTTTTATTACCTGTTTAGAAAATAGCACAAAGATACCATAGTTCCTGCCCTCTACCAGGTGAATGGACACCCGATGAATGTTGAATGTTCTTCCGTACACAGACTTTTTTTTTTTTCCCTGACCAGTAAGGGGATCGCAACCCTTGGCATGGTTTGGTCTGTACCACGCTCAGCCAGTGAGCACACCGGCCATCCCTTTATAGGATCTGAACCTGCGGCCTCGGTGCTACCAGCACCGCACTCTCCCGAGTGAACCACAGGGCCGGCCCTCCATTCTTGTTTTTTGAATGTCTCCTTAACACTCCGCTGTGTGGAAGTGGCATAATTTACGTTTGCGTTGCTCTCAGACAGTGCACATTTAGGTTATTCTCCGTTTCATTATTATAAACAGTTCCGTAGGATAAATTCTTAGAAGTGGACTACAAGGGGTAAAATAACTAAGCATTTAAGTCTTTTCATAGCCAATGTCCACTTGCCCTCCTCAAAGAGTCACTAACAGGGTAGTGCTCATTTCTCCATTCCTGCACACACGTGAAGCTTGCTGGTGTGATGGCAGAAAAGTGACAGGTTGTTCTCACTTGCATGTCTTCATGGTGGGCTTGGGCATCATTTCCTACATAGGACAACATAGTTGTCCTTGTATGGATTGTCCATTTCTCCAAGAGTTGTTTATCTTTTTCTTGTTGATTTGTCAGAGCTCTTTACATAGGAAGGACAGTGCACCCTGTCTGGGGCGTGCTGGAGCCCACACTTTCTTTCGCCCCTGCAGTGGTTGGCTGGCAGCAATCGGGTTCTTCCAGAACAGCGTTGGGGCTGCCGTGGTCATGCTGCTGCCGGCCATCATGTTCTCCCTGTCGGCTGCCATGATGGCCATTGTGATCATGAAGGTGAGTCCAGCCCTCCCCGAGTTCCCATGCTCATCTGACCATCCTAGGTTTGTGACCTTGGGGGAGCCCAGACGTGGCTTCCAGAATCCTCCCCCAGGGGAGTTGGGCAGGACGTGCTCCATCCCCAGCAATGGGCCATTGTGACATATATGATGTGTCATCCCAGAGAAGTGCACAGAGACCTAGAGCCCGGGGGTGTTATGTGGGGGTGGTTCACGTAGCCCCCTCTGCCTGGCAGGTGTGAGATTCCAGACTCCAGAAGGAAGGTGTGCTTGAGCCCCTCCTGCCAGTGAGGGTGCCCCCCCAAGCCCAGGTTCCTAACCCCAGTGGGGGGCCTCACAGCTGCCTGGTGTCCTGAGGACACAGCCCTGGGCCACCTCTGTTCTGCATCCCCATCCCCTGCCCCCACTGAAGAAATCGATATTTAATGCAGGTAGACAGACAGTTGCACAGCAAGAGATGAATTCCATTGGGAAATAACAAAGGTGTTCAACTGGGCTCAGAGTCAAGGACATCAAATGCCATTTTTTTGCTTTTTTGTTGGTGGTTGGCCAGTACGGGATCCGAACCCTTGACCTTGGTGTTATCAGTACCCTGCTCTACCAAGTGAACTACTGGCCAGCCCTCATTTTTTGCTTACTGAAATGACTACGGTTTCTAGAAATAGGACAGCTAGTGTTCTCAGAGGTGTGGCCGGGGCAGGCAGGCACAGTCATTCTGTGTGGTGGCATGTCTGCAGTCCATCACTAGCAGTCTCTGCCGGGAAACTGTCACAGACATGCCCAAAGAAGAGTGGATCCCACGGCCTGGGATAGACAACTAATGATTATAACGAGTTTATTGTGTGTTTTCCTGTGCCAGCTCTGCCCAAGCGGCTTTGCACATTCAAACTCACTGATGGCCCAAATGTCAGGCCAGGGACATGCAACGGGCTGTCAGCCTCCAGTGCCTGGTTGTTTGGTCACTACCCAACAGCTGAGGCCTGGCCATGCCACATGGCGATGACTGGCAGTGCCACAGGAGAAGTGGTGGAGACTGTGCTCCTCAGGGAAAGATAAGCCCCCAGACATGCCCACAGATGAGCCCTTTCCACGAAAGAAATGCTAGCTTGGCTGTGGGCTTTATCAACACAGGAGAAGTGACCCGGGGCCAGAGCTCATGGCAGGGGCTTCTGAGTCCACAGTTTTGGCTCCCCTGCATTTTCTTTCTTTTTTTTTTTTAAAGATGACCAGTGAGGGGATCTCAACCCTTGGCTTGGTGTTGTCAGCACCACGCTCACCCAGTGAGCCACAGGCCGGCCATCCCCTTGCATTTTCTAAAGTTTCTACAAAGACTATTTATAGTTAAAGAACAGGGGTGTTATTTATGGACACTCAAGAAGAGAAGGAAGCCTCACTCTAACCAAGAGCAGGTCTCTCTCATCCATGGATGCACTGATCTTCTGTTCTCCACCTCCCCGTCCTGTGTCCCTGCAGGTGCACAGGATCTACCGAGGGGGCGGCGGAAGCTTCCAGAAGGCGCAGACAGAGTGGAGCACGGGTGCTTGGCGGAACCCTCCATCGCGGGAGGCCCAGTACAACAACTTCTCTGGGAACAGCCTGCCCGAGTACCCCACTGTGCCCAACTACCCAGCCAGTGGCAGCCAGTGGCCTTAGAGGAAGATGGCCAGCCCTGCGGCCCGCCTACCACCCCCTGCCCCTCCATTCCCACCACCGCCCTCGGTCCGGTGAGGCCTAGAGTGTCTGTCCCTACACCCTCCCAGGTGGGCCTAACCAGGGGCTTCCTCAGCCAGGGCAAGCACCGCCTGGCTGCTGGCTGACCCTGTCACCAGCAGAAGGATACCCTCTTGGTCCTAAAAGCGTGCGGTCGCTGTGATGTCTATGACGCAGCAGGCACAGCCTTTTCTCCCCAGGTTGCATGGGGCTGACCAGCCGCACCCCCTGAGGGAGGTGGCAGCAGGCTGACCGCCCTCCCGTTCTTCCAGAGCAGCCGGCGGCTGAAGCGGGAGCCCTCCTGGCACTGGGCTCCGTCTCTGCCCACCACCCACCCATCACCAGGGCAGACTCCCTGGCCCTGAAGCAGGAAGAGGCCTCGCAGCGCCAGCTCGCAGTCCCCGCAGGTGGCCGAGGGGCTCATTGTACAGCCCAGTCCCATGCTTTGTTATCCTCCAAAGTCCCCTTCCACAGCTAATGACTCCACAGAGCAGCCCACGGGGCACCCAAGCAGGTCGACCATGATCTGTGCGTCTCCCCGGCCCCCAGCCTACCTCCCCACCTCTCTTCCCCCATAACCGAGAGATTCAGGAACTCCATCAGCTGGTGTGGTTACTGGAGATGGTCCCCTCCTCGAACCAGGGACCTTGGGCACAACCTCTGCTCCCCGAGATCCAAGACCCGGTTCCTTTGCTGGAGGAGAGAGAGGCCAGGTGGGGAGCATGGCCTCCCCCCCCAGACAAAGCAAACGTATAGGAAGATGCAGAGCGTCCGTGGGCCACGTGTACCCCAGCACTGGAGAGT